TGAATGATTTAGTGTTCTGTTCTCGATAGAGGAGTGCTTTACTGTGGCATCATTGGATATCAATTGTCAATATCATGCAAAGAGCAACTGCAGTACCTAAACTCTTACTTCGAGTTTTCGTACTGGTGTCTATGAACTGTGTCTCAGCGCATTTCCTGCAGCGATCAAGAGGAGAGTGGCATATCCTACAGCATAACGAATGCCGAACTTGTCGAACGCCTCTCCAGTTATTGCCTGGAACGGAGCTCGTGTGCGTGCTTTGCGGGTCGTTAACACGATCCATTAGAATATCTCGATGGACTTGTCCATTGGTGTCAGGTCGAAAGACCTAAATGGTCTCTCAATTGCTCCTCTGTGGCCAATCTAACGACCGGGGAACTTAGGATCAACCATTGGATCGCGTCGCGATGGTAACTCTTACCGAAAAGTCACACCTGCGATCCGCAAAAAAATCTCATGGCTGCTCACCCAGAGAATTTGGGACGTGGCACTTGTGAGCATCTAGAAACATCAGGTTTTTCACACTTGTTACTTGCCCATCACATGCACTATACTGTACACACACTTCCACAGCCTTAATCCCACGACCATGTCCCAAATTCGCATGACACGTGCCTCATTACATGACGGAATCACAGGAAATCACGTGAGACAAAAAGTGATTGTGTGACTTTTGGCTTGAGTATGAGCGGTGCACCATAATGCTGTTGGAACATCTCGTTCGCCAGGTGATGTTCCAAGCCGACGCCACATGAAATCATTGATACTTGCAGTGCTTCTGCTACTGCCTCTTCGAAAAAGTAAGATTCATTGATCCCCCATTTGACCGTGCACTTGTCCACACCTAAAGACTGGGTAAGTTCAAGGCTTACATGCGACTTGTGCTTAGCACTAGTACAACCTTTGGGACAAGCCATATTAGCACCATCATCTATGGGCCTCTCCCACAAAGGATAACATGTTTTTGGTGAGAGCATGTCAATCACTTGCCAAGATACAGCTACGAGGAGATATGAGAAAGTTATTATGTTCATGTCATAATTCCTTACAGAATTCATCTGTGTCATAGGTGACAGTTTCCTCTGCAAAATAACGTCCTTCACATGCTATACATTTGCTATCTATCCAAGACTGGAACGCCAAGTGAAGACTGTTTTCTGCGAAAAGGGGGCTACAGTAGAGGCTATTCTCGCCGCGGTGTCGTCTTCAAAGCCGGCGACCCCGCGATTCCGCTTTCGTGCGAGGGACAACCGGAAAGTGCGACGAGAAAGGCTTGGTAAATATGGAGGGTGTTCGTGTCAGTAGCACCCAATGAGACCCCGGTGGATCGTACCTCCAAATCGATATGCAGTCTTGCATTGTCAAGAGCAGGAACAACGCAAAATCGCTTATTGTACTGGAGATGAAAGCCTCTGAGGCCTCCTTTGAGACGATCCCCTTGAAACTCCTCACGTATTCGCTTCATTCGGTGTTCCAATCTTGGATGAATCCTGCGGGAAAAAAAGGCGGATGGCATGCGAGGGACGTTACTTTGTGAAGGAAGCGATCACCAAAGACGGGGAATAATGTGGATAGATATCATGAAATCAGTCCATGAACTTTTTTTATCCCCTCGTGTATTACTTCCCTTCCTTTGTCCAACATGGTATCTAACCTCTTCTCAAAGGGTCAAAGGCATCCCACTTCTTCTGAGACACCGCTTTATTCTTCCAAAAGGGTTCCGTGCTTTGAGCTGGAAATATCCTGCCATGCCTCACTTATCAAGGGCGTTCAATGATATTAGCACGAGGTTCTTATGGCGTTTGGTTAGCCTTTTTTCAACAAATACGTTCCTTGCACATCTGAACGCCCCATGTCGATTGTGCAAAGTACTCGTGTTTCTGAAGTCATTGACATTTGGGGCGATTTATTATTGCATCAGTGATTCGTATGCCCTCTTTTCAAAAATACAATAAAATAATCATCACCTCATTGGCTCGTCTGATGAAGTTAGGAGGGGGGAGGAGACTTTTGACGAGTTTTGACGAGGGGAATATGACCTCGTGACGCTGATGGATGGATAAAGCCATATCTCACAAGTGACTATCGAAGCTAACGCACACGGAACGAACACTGACTCTGATCAGCACTCGGCCTATTTATGGTGGTCTCGTGGAAGTTCCAGGATGTTCCACGACTTTCTGGGGGGGGGTGGGAGACTTTTGACGAGTACTGTGAATGAAATTACTCGTTCCTAACATGCTTTCGTCGTTCTCCTCTGAACCATTTCCAACTCCATTACGTTCATTTTATTTTCATGCCTCCAAAATTGGACACCTTACTTAATTTTGGGGATTACCAACGCCTTGTACAACAGAGGAATAACGTGTGAGCCCATATAGATAATCGAAAGCGGATGAAGACTAAAATCGCATGTGACATCCTCCCGCGACCTGCGCGTGCTCGACGAATTTCAATCTCTCATCGATGATAACCCCTAAATCCCTCTCTCCGTTGGCATCCCCAAGTCTGTCCTCGCCATGGCTTTTTGAGACCCATCTTTATCACTCTGGTTTCATTCCAATGTTAACCCCGCCATATTTCTCGACGACACTTATATGACGTTTTGGCGGGAGGTATCTTATGAGCTAGAATGCGTGTGGTTTGGTCATTTTGGAGCTTTTTTTGTTTTCCGGAATTTGAAGCTAAAATGATCTTTTTGGCCACGGTGACAAAAGGTGCGCTCATATATTCCTCGTTACGGCTAGTCGAGTTGAATATCCTGGTGAATGTTTAAAGCCAGGTGGTCTCGAAGTTGCAAAAGCTTGCTTGCTAGTCTTTTCTGCTGGATTAATGGTCGCTTTTGGGTTAATATAAATCTCTAAATACACAAATGAGCTGCTTGTTTGTGCCTCCACTCCCTTCCCGTAAAAATCGTTCACCCTTACTGCTGTCTGGGAATACTCGAGAAGTAGGCTCTCGGCAGGTCTGACATCGGATGCGCCGATTTGGGCCGAACTTTGGTTTTGGAATCTTGGATTGGAATGACTGCACCAGCTCTGCAGCAACACGATGTTTAAACAATTTTATGCTTTTTCCCTCTCTCTTGAGAAAGGATAGTTAATGGTTTCTCGTTCAGTCCCACAGCGAAAAGGAGCAGCACGGCTATAATGTGGATTCTGTTATTTAGAAAATACATGCATATATACAGTCGAACTCGGTTATAACGTCATCGAAGGGACCAGGGAAAAATCGTCGTTATAACCGAGGTTGCCTTCATTGACATTCCGTTATCCTGTTTTCAAAATGGATGCTATATAACGTTACAGCTCCAGTGTGCATAGGTCATGCCACACTAGCTTCGGTTTCAGTATTGACCCAATAATCGTGATGTTCGCACTTCTTTGGACCTTGAACTACTTTATACTTTAACAAGGCCTCGTCGACGTCATCTCGACAAATCTACGAAGTTTCTTGTTTTGTGACTTGTTCTCGTAAGCACGGATGAAGCTGTCACGATTTTCCCAAATTGTGGTAACAGAAGAGCAGATGTCCATGTTCGCGAGCGACGTTAGCTTTACCTCGACCTTTTCGATTAAACTAATCATGCACACTTTCCTTTCAATCGTGGAGGTTTGCCTCTTTCGCTTTCCACTGGCCGTGTTGTCAACGAGGAATGCAAATGGCGATTGAAGATAAGATTATCTTCTTAGTTACTGGGGATTATCCCTCTCTTATCCTCCTTCAGTCTCACCCACAGGACTCGCAAGAAATGCCGATTCCAGGAAAGATAACATTATGGCTAGCCAGCGCTCATTTTTCCGAATATGGAAATTCCAGTTAAGAATGACGAATTAGGAACATCAACGTTGTCGATTCCATCAGTTGCACCTTGAATGGACTTCGTTATAACCGAGGTTTTCGCTATAACCGAGGTTGTTATAATAGAGTTCGACTGTAAAAAAAATGGAATAAAATGAAGTGAATATATTAATTAATTAATTAATAAAAATAAACAAGAAAGTAAATAAATCGAGTATAATGAATAAATAAATAGGTGAATAAATAAAATTATCTACAACCTAATGACCCTACGTTAGTGTGCTAATTATAGAGTAATTGTCTAGTTGAAATTACATGACTGGTTGGAAAACTGAGTCTCTTTTCCAGACCGCAAAAAACCGCAAGTGTTGTCTATGTGACATTTCGGTGATTCCTTAGAAAAAGGCCACTTTTCGAATTTCGAATGCCAAAAACTATTTTTGAGCTCATTAATGCATGGTTTTATTCACCATGTATTTTTTTTTTACAGTCATATAAATGCCATCCTATTGGTTTTCCCCACATTTGATTTTTTCACATGTCACACATCCCTAACCTCTGTGAAATGCGAATAACTTTACCCACGTATTGTAGATAGTCATCCCTCTACTTCACAGTCTTAAATACAAGTGATAGAAAAATGGCTAGGATTTAAAAATAAGAACAATAATCATCATCCAATTCAGATTCTAAGCGACACCACTTTGTCGTTTTAGTGGCCATATAAAGAATAAGACCCATGGATTCCATATCGCAATTACATCTTCAGAAACTCGTGATGCTGGAGTAGAATTCATTTCCAATACATTTGGGTTGCGAAAAAGATCATAAGATTTCTTTGTAAATAGCGAGCGGCCTGGAAGTTCTCCTTATTTAAATGCGGCAGAGAACGTTTGGCCCATCCTAAAGGAGCGAGTTTAGGCTCTCCTGCTCGAGGAGGGCGAGCAACATCGATTCTCAAGGGAAACCTTGCAAGGCAGCATCGCCCGAGTGTTGAAGGACATGGAAGATGACACGGAATCCTTTAAGCGTCTTTCCTTTCCTCATCCTGCGTTGCTCGTCTCGAAGCCGTCTGAAATGCTCACGGATTACTAGAAGTTGATGATCATCGAATTGAAAACGAGTACTTTTTTCTCAAGATGTACCGGTTTTTCTTTCTAGCTCATAGTTTAAGCCGTGGTAGGGTGAAGGATATCTTCATGCAACATTCGGCATCGGTAAGCTTCGTCAGGGAGAGGATAAATCCGAGACAATACGCGAAAAGCCTTGACCTTGGAGACTAAAGTGGTTGTGAGGGCCACTAGCAACTCATGGGGTTATCGATCGAGCGTCGGTTTTGTCCTGCTGCCTACCATATGTCAGTCCTTTGTTCGATGAGGGGTGCACGCCTACGTGATTGATTTTTCCTTTCGAGTGGGTATATCTTTTTTTGACAAAATGCAACTCAATATTTAAATGATCAATATGGGTATTTCATTCGAAGGAGTTGAATCATCAGTACGTCCTATGTCGAAACAGTTTTCGTCATTTTAGCTCTGGATGTCCTTGCATTCTTCGTACGTCTCTATATTGGTTAACACAATTTTCGTCGTGTTCTTCTGCACTTCGGAGCACTATCTATTATGCGGACCAATCCACTTAGGGCTAAGGAATTATTGAGTGCGTAAATGTTTTTGCCTTTTTTGGGACCATCCTGTTCACCTGTACTGTACCTGAAACCCCATGGAGTTTCTCTCTAGAGGTGCTACGCGTTCACGGACACCTTTGTAGTATGATCGGTTCGAAAATTCTTACTCTTCTGGTCTATCCATGATCTTCGGTATACTTCCAAAATGTTTTGGAATCATTTCGGCTCCGAGGAACAGGGACACTCTTGTTCGATACTTTATTCAAAGTACTTCACAGTGATTCCAATCGATCTCGCTCACTGACGAAAGTTCACTTTTTCCGCATTGCAAGCGCGTTTGAGAAGTATCCCTTCTCGCTCGGTCCGATAAATATAAACTGCTCATCCATGTATTGGGTCATCCCATAAGTAATGCGGTTTTTCCGAGAAGCTTGCAATAAACCAATAAAAATGGGTAATATTATGTAGGTATGCATTTGAAATAAATACTGATCTAGATACTAACTTGCCTTCATTTTCATATCAAATTTTGATAAGTGTACATGTCTTTACAGAGAGTTTAAAATGGAAATGATAAAAGAACATATTCGGCATATTATACTTTACGAGTATGGAAAAGGCAACAACGCGACGAAAGCGGCAGAAAACATATGCCAAGTGTACGGGGAAAGAACAATTAATGTAAGTCAGTGTCAACGGTAGTTCCAAAAATAATAAACTATAATAAACCATAAAATAATGAACCATCCACCGTATTCACCTGACATCGCTCCATCAGACTACCACCTGTTCCGGAGTCTACAAAACCACTTGGACGGAATGCAGATGGCTACCATAGATGAAGTAAGAACTGTATTGGAGGAGTTTTTCGAGTCCAAGCCAAGGGAATTTTACAAGAAGGGTATAGAAAGTTTACCAGAAGGATGGGAAAAGGTTGTAGAGAATGAGGGAAAATATATTATTGATTAAAGGTTGTCGAAAAATTGTTTTATTTTTAATTTAAAAATACAGAAAAAAAACGCATTACTTATGGGATGACCCAATACTACGACGAGTCCACACGTTAGACTACTCGTTCGTTAAGATGAGTTCATGGTTTCACTGGAAGTACTTTTCCGTACCGGAAGCCCTGGAACAGTCTTTGCGGTCCCCGAAAGTAGTACGTTAAGGCCTTAATGGTACTACTTTCAGGAGACCATGACTTTTCACTTATCGAAATTGAGGTCGGAAAGTGTTGCCGCCTACGGGTGCGGTTCCAGGACTTGGAAGCGGCAGTTGCCCTAAACCCTTGGATGTGAAGCAAGGAAACCCAGGAAAGGGGACATCCCCGGAGCAAGACTCCATTGTTCCTGTATTTCCTCGACTCGGTTCTGTCATGAGGTCTGTTGGTTGAAATGTGTCTTTTGTCGCCAAAAGAAGCAGGTCTCGATCCGTGGTCTCAGAGGGACGTGCGCCAGGTTTAGAGTTCTTGTTTGAGCACGAAAGGGAACTGTTACAGTGGAAGTTGTAATGGGGGGTAGGGAGGGGGGAGGGGAAAGGGCTATTATTGCACCATGATTGTTATGATAAGGCGTTGTCGTGCCTTGAAATAGGCGGGAAGGAATGTTGCTACGATTCCTGCTTCATGATCGTAATCTGGGCTCTGTAACGAAAAAAATTCCCGGCATCTCTGAATCGGAAGAACGGAAGGTTTTTTTTATCTGTCTGTCTACAGGGTGGCCCAGAAGTAATAGGGCAGTTAGTGGTACAATCAGCAGTCACTACAATTTTTATTTTCAAAACTTAATACTTAGTGATTCTGAAATAAAAATAAAAATCAATTAATAATCAAAATAATAATAATAAAATAATAAACAAAATTGTAGCGACTGCTGATTGTACCACTAACTGCCCTATTACTTCTGGGCCACCATGTACTGGGAAAAAGAAAAGGCATCCGAGTCGAAAATTTCCGCTGTCACGGTTTGCAGAGTCGGCTCGCAGGACACGATAAGACGGCTTTTTGGCGCATTTGTTTCTTGTTTAACAGACCATGCGAACGGGCGGATGCTGTGGGTGTGGCGGGTGTCAGGCTCTTCCTTCATCTGCTGGAAAGGGGGGAAGGAGCTTTTTCCGACGAAAATTCAATTCTCGAGAAAGCTCGTAGTCGCTTATATTCCGCATCTGTTCAAGATTATTCTGCTGTGTTCTGACAGTGTTCGTGCAGTTACGAAGAACGAGTAAAAAATAGCGCAGTTCTTAGATGAACTAGATGGCAATCGACATTGCGTAACATGTAAAAATCTGAGTTAGAAGTTTTTCCATTGTTCGGTTGGAGGCGATCATTTTTGTGTCGCTGGAATAACCTGCAGCATCCAACATATTAAACACTGCGTTCCCCGCACTCATTACGGTGATTCTGCTTCTCAGGAGAGGTTTGTATCTTGGCCTTGGGGGGGGGGGGGCTCGTAATATTTCTGAAGATCCCTGTTTTAACTGAAGTGAGAATACTGCCGTTGTGGCTCGACACGCTTGACAGTCATCTAGCCGTTTGGCATCGCACTCATGCCAAACTGCTGGATGACTGTTTTCCTACCGATGCACAATAGGTCGGATTCACGCGAAATTAGTAATAAAAAATGGGATAGGCTTTCATGACTTCATAGCAAGCATTAGTCAACTACCAATCGACTGGAAGAGACTGATTAACATTTTCTAAGACATGACTCTTATGAACATCATTAATCGTCTTTTTATTTTAAGCTGTATTGGAAGTGGGAAATCGCCTCAAAGTGCGACGCGGAGTCCATGTAATAATGGCCGACGCTTGTTAGCGTGTCTGTCTGTCTGTCCGTCTGTCCATTAGAGGCTTGCTCTGGCCTATCGGGCCAGTCTGGATCCTATGGAGGACTTTAATCCTCGATTTTTCGTTCCGTACGATTGGGCGTGCCTTATTCGGATGCTGTGGGACGGAACTACCTAAAAATTGGTGAATGTTTAAGTCTATTTAAGTTTAAGTTTATGGTGATCGAAAGCGTCTCCTATTCTTCATGGAACTCCTAGGTGTTCCAGATTCGAACTGTGTGCTTTATTTGAATGCCATGAGACGAAACTCGATAAAATACCATATTTAGCGAAATGGCGGGAGGGGCATGGAGAGTAGGAGAGTGACGCATCCCATATTATTGATCCGAAAAATGGCTGTTCAAATTTTCAACGGTGTGTCTCATTTAATTGCTGTGGGACGGAACTCGATTAGTCCCAATTAGGAAGCCGTGAATGTTTCAACATTGACAGCTACTTAAAAATGTAACGTACGTTCCATATTGATTGCCATGCCTAACAGAGATCTAGTTGGCCATTATTCATCATCATCCTGTCCTGTTGACTCAAAGTTCAGATTTAGATTTGAATCGAGCTGAAAAGGCTGAATGCAAGAACTAGTTGATGATATTAGAGCATGGGAGTGTAGAAACGTTGGAGTTTATAATAACCGAAAATGGGTCCTGGAGACCCCTGGAGAAGTGAACTTTTCCTTACGAGTTAGCACTTTCAATTGAGCAATGCTTTATGGATTGAGCGATTTCCGGGAATCGTTCCCGAGCCTACCCTTCAATCCCTTCAATTCAATCTACCCTTAGCCTTCAATCGATGGAAGTTGTTTCTTTTGCATTCTTTCATTCTCTTTCGTTCAAGCACACGGGGTGTCCTTGGAATCCTGTTCAGGAATTTGTCGAGCGGTGAAGTTTGGCTTCTAAAATTTTTCCGGATTCACATTCCTCGCCCGTTTCAGTAAATGCTCAGTTTTGAGAGTAAGGGAGAAAGAGATCGGTGATGATTCCCGTGTGCAATTGTCACCTTGAGGTTATTCCTCTGGTAAAGCATGCGTCAACATCGATGAAAGGGGGAAATATTTAAGTCCGGTCTTCGGGGAATTCGTCCCACATCGTGGTGTGGAAAGCGTTCTCGTTTTAAACCTTATATTTATTCCTCCCATTTCTGAAATTCGTCACTTGATCGTTCGTTGCAGTTGGGGGACTCGGACTCGAGGAGGCTGAGTCTCCGGAACGTATCCCTGGCCACGTCGGGCCGATACCGATGCGAGGTGTCGGCGGAGGCGCCGTCGTTCCAGACCGTCAAGGACAGTTTCCATCTCCAGATCTACGGTAGGTGTCGTCGGGATGTCGATTTTTTGGGTCGGGGTGTCGATTCGATTTTTTTTTGGGTCGGGGGGGATTCGAGGGAGCGATCTCGGCTGAGTCCGGTGAGAACTTTTCACCCTCAGACCCTACATATGCAACGTTAATTGACTCATTATTAGAGGGAAAGTTCTCGCAGAGGAACTCTCTCTCCCCGGATTCATTAGGTTTTCCGTGTTCGTACGATGCGAGTGACGAGAAGTTTTTGTCCCTATCGCCCGGCTCCGTTGTCCCCCCGATTTGCACGAAGGGGGTCGGGCAGATAACCACCCGACCAGGTGCTTCCGCCCGCGGCAGATACGGGGGGAGGCATGAGGGTAAGACGATGAAAAATGCATGCTCTGTTGTCTCCCGACCACGTGAGCGTGGTTGCATGGAGGAATTTCCCTCCGCCTGGATCCGCTTGATTCTCGCTGAATTATGCACGAGGATCCCGCCGGGGGAGTGATTGGAGAGCGCGTACCGTGTATCGGGGAGCCGATGCTCCGAATTTCGCCCGCTCCCGGATAATTCGGATGGATGACATGCTCGAACGCCCGGCTCGGTAAATAAAGCTCCTTTATTCAAAGTAACGGGGGAAGAGAATGAAAAAATGATGAAGCCACTCGTGGAGTTCGCGTTCCGATTTCTTCGGCGGTTCGGCTTGCGTCCGGGGATTCGTGTGGCGGACTCGCACGTGTCTGATCGTTTCGGTGGGGAAAATCGGGCCGGGAGGATGAGACGGTCTCGTGCGATCGTCGTGCATTTTTCGTGGTCGAGCCGCGTGGAGGGGGGGACGCCTGGGCTCTTTAGCTTTTCCGACACGAAGCGTACGAGGCCGTTCTCGGTGCGGATTTGCGTCGACCCGCCTGGTATCGATTTCCGTATTTACTCATTCATGGCGCACGAAGAGGTTGGCGATGCGTGAGATTTGGCGGTTCCGTTGCGTGCTGGGGATCGCGGTTCGAGGGGCGTGAGGGGCGTGCCTTTTCTGCGGGAGTGCAATCGGTCTGGGAGTTTCTTGGCCGGGTGTGAATCAAATAAATGCTCGACGTCGAGGGGTTGGAAGGGAATATCGTGCGGGTAAGCCTGCTGTGCGGCTTTTTCCTGATCCTCGCCGCGGCTTGAATTGCGTAAAGCCCATCCCGAGCGGATAAGCGTTACGAATTGGAAACCGTCATGAATTCTTTCGAGAAGAATCGCCCCGATGCCGAAATTCGGTCGTTGGAATCCTATGCGGCCTGCATGGCTTGCCGACGAGGATCGAGCGTTTTTTATGCGAACGATCGTGGACAAATCGATGTTTTTATGGCTCATTCGCATTGCCGGGGGACTGCAAAAGCGAGAAGAGAATCGTGAAGGGGTGATGCGTTTCGATTCGCTTCGACTCGGGGGTCGAGGGGGACCCATCATTTTGCTCCATCTTTAATGCCATCGTCCTTTCTATCTCTTGCCGGAAGTCAAGTTTTAGAACCGTTCGCACTTATTCTTGTTATCTGAAAATGAGATCCACTTCGTGCACGAACTCGGCATGGCAGGGGCGAGGTGGGGCCGAGAGGCCGGGGGGAGACGACGTCGATGAAGGGTGATCATTTATTGAGGGAATGGGAAAGGCTGGGTGAGGACGGTGGATTATCTTGTCACCGTTGGGTCAAGGGGAACCGTTGTCGTCGGGGCAGGGGGTGCTGTCGGTCATGGGGGAGGCGATCAAAGGATTCCAGGGAATTCTTTCTTGGATGGGTTGGGCCAGCGCGTACGGGGGAAGAATGGGGGTGAAGGGGGGTGGTGAGGGGGGGGGGGGATGATGATTTCGTTGCGCCTCGCTACTCTCCCATGGCGCCCCTTCATTTCCGCCTTTCTGCCAGCTTTGGCTTTTGTGTTTCCCTGTGGCTTCATTTGCATCCAGACGGTCGGAGGCGTCTCTCGTCGGAATCTGTATTTTTTCTCTCTGCAGTGTTGCCTTCGAGGGGTCCGGTGATCAACGGGGTGCTGGATTACAGGCGGTTGGGGGTGAGGAAAGGGGACGAGCTCCGTCTCAATTGCTCCTGTCATCAGTCCGCTCCTCCCACTTCGCTCTCGTGGTTTATCAACGATCATAAGGTCCGATTAAAAACTTTATTAATTGTTTTTTTGCGTGAATGGCTGCTCCATAAATGAGATTCCTTCGTTATGAACTTCTCTCGAGAATAAGCGCACTCTCTTTAATGAAATAAAATCGATGAAAAAAAATATGACGAATCTAACCATATGAATATTAATTCGGGATATAAACGAGCGCCGGCAAGAGTGAATACGTATTCTAAAAGGTACGAATATGAATGAGCACAAACACCAGGGTTGGTGGCAGTCGACCGCCGAACCCTGAACTTACGATTTCCCAAAACGATGAACTGAATTCCAGGTTCACGATAAACACGTGTTGGAATATCCTCCGAGAGAGGAAGGGGAGCTGATGACGTCGGTCCTGGGGCTTCGGATCAAGATGGAGGAGAGGCACATGGCGGAGCATGCCCTGAGGGTCAAGTGCGTTGCCTCGCTGGACCCTGTCTTCTGGAGGAGTCAGGAGGAGTCCTTTCCCATCATCCAGGATTTTCCGCTGCCCGACGATGGTTCTTCGGGAGTGGCCGTCGCTCCGTCGACCACCGGTCTGTGCCGGTCCTTGTCTCTCTCGGTCCCTTGCCCTAGGAATATTCCGGATCCGGTGGCTTTTTTTCGCGTAAGAAAATCTGGGAGGAAACGATGGAGAGGTTTCGGCTTAATCGCGGCGCCGCGCGGTGGGACGAAGTCGCGCTTTCCTGGTCAAAAGAATATAACCTGGATTATATGTGAGGATTCGAGTTTAATTGTTCTAAAGCACCATACAAGCCATGTTATGAATAGAAGGTTTTATATTCCATGCATCATGATTGAAAAGTATACTATTGAGGTCTTAACGCTCCTGTGAACAGTGGAACAGCTTCTTGTTTTGAATCTTCTGACGGTGAGTGACCGAAGCAGAAATTCTAGACTATGCATGCAAATTTACTCCATGCAATCTATGCATGCCAATTCCTTCGAATTGGCATGCAATAGCAGAGCAAATTCCTGCGCAGTCTTCATCCTCATTTCGTCCAAACGATTCATTTCTTCAGGTTTTGCACCGTAAAATGTGCGGATTTTCTTCGTGTCGATAGTGATTCTATTTTCTATATATCATTGTCAGGTAAATGCATTCTTTCTAGACCATCTTCACGGGATTTTCAAGCACCATCTCAGCTTCCTCTTCCCTGCATTCTCATGAAGATTCGATTGTCGCGTAATGTACTTCACGAGGCGGTGAGGAGAAGCGAGAGACAATGAGATCCGTCGGAAGGGTTTTTTTTTTTTTTTTTTGCACCCGCGGATCCTCGGGACGAGTCTCGGAAGTAATCAGCATTAATTGGGGACGAACATTTTGTGTGCTCGTTACTTCTAATGAATCACCGGCTGGAGCTGCAGTGTTTCTGTACTTGGCTCGCGATGGCAGATGACTCCTATGGTCGAAGTAGCAACAGTAGCAGGTAGTTTTCTTATGCCTCCGGATTCCAGAAATTAGATTCCAGAAATGCCAAAATCTTCTTCGCAATCGATCATGTTTTTTTCCGGCACACGAAGTACGGGGCATATAAGAAATTGAGGAATAGAGCTCAGAAATGTAGGCACCGTGCCCGTATTAATCTAAATTAGAGTATGATATCGTGTAAAGTGAAAGTACTTACTCGTAGAAAGCTCCATCTATATAGATGTATTGCGGATTTTTTCTTCCGACAAGGTTGTTTAATTTTAACCTGAAGGAATCTGGGCGTGGACGGTTTCGAGGCGTTTCCTTGCGTTTTCACAGCTCCATCTCGAAAACGGAGAGAATAATTTTAAAAGTTGAAATTAATGAGTGATGGGTAGTGTATGAGAATCATTCAAGATAACTCGATTTTTTACGTTTCGGTCAGAATTTGGCCGCTTTTGTCCCACTGTGCGCCGGTAATTTTGACCACGCGGTGACCCTGGCGAGCTGGCAATAATTTGCACGTTTCCAGCCGGCATCCACGAATGCGTGATTCTGCATCTGATGCATCGGCAGCTTCTCGTTTTTCATTTGTTTTCGTAGGATTTGAATTCGAGCCCCAAAAATATCGCGACTGCACCAAAGTCACTTGATGACTTTTTTCTTCTTTATCCTTTCATACCCAGGAAGGGCCTGGAGTCACGGGTCCTCCTCCCACAAGCTCTTCATTATTTTCACCTTCGTGCTGCATCGTTTCTTCAAGACGCTCTGACTTTCGGATCTAAAGACAGCCTCAGAAGTCTCCGAAGGGTGCAAAGTGAAACCTCGAAAATAATTTATTCCATATGGACATTGCGTTCAGAGTCTTTATGTGATTCCCGTTTCGTTTCTCATGCTTTCTCGCGAAAATAAAGAGCGTTTTCTTTTTATGCACGAGGAGTGGATTTCTTCCCCCTTTCTGCTCCGGGGATGAAGATACTGTAGGCGGATGCGATGCAATATCTCATATTGAGGGATAGACTGGCGTGACTGAAGGGAATGAAGGGGAGTCGAGTCCTTTCCGTGACCGGAACGGTTTTTCCTCTTCATACCCCTTCATCCTCCTTTCGACTGTTGCGCCAGAGGAAGGAGGATGGAAGGGAGGGAGTTCTTGCATCAATCTCGTGGCGCTGGGGGGGGGTGGGGGGGGGGGGGGGCAGGGGAAGCATCTATCCACAGTGCGTCGAAGACGCAGGAGAGTGGGGGAGGCACTAGGGTCGTCACTTCCAATAAAAACCCACGAAGACTCTCGAGTGAAGCGAATGCAAACGAAGGGTCCATTCTATTCATTTGCATCTACGTGCACGCTCTTTTGTAGGGAGAAGCTCCTGTATAATAAGGAAGGGGGAGAAAGGAAACAAGGGGAGGCTTCCTCGACTTTGTTTAGGTTTTCTCTCGAGAGACGTTGTTTATACGATCACGGGGATGAAGAAGCAGGTGGAACTGGCCGGGCTCTTCCATCTTCTTCCTTCCTCGATTCTATTTCTTCTCGGCGAGTCCAAGGCCCTGCTTCGGGAGGGGTCTCGTCGCTTAAAAATGGGCTTAAAAATCGTTTCATCCGGAGGGACTGAGGGATCCCCGTGAAATACTCGGGGCCTCGACGCGATGCCTTAATATATTGCGTGGCGAGCCCGCTGCGCCGCGGTGGTTTTTCATTGTCATGAAAAGCGTGTTTGCTACCCATTAAGTTCGCGGCTCCAAAGCGTCTGACTTTAAGCGTAGCCCTGCATACAATTCACACAATGCGTGCGATTCGGACCATCGATTTCTGCACCTCTCCAGGAATTTTGCACATATAGAGTTTTTTGAGTTTGCAGCAACACCAGGTCGCATATTTCTGATCGGAATGAAGAGAGCGGAGTTTGAAAGTCGAACAAAATTTGGATTCCGCGCCACGTGGACCGAAAAGTTCGACAACCCGAGCTGACGTCACCGCACATGTTGACGAGCTGTCCGCGACCTTAAGAAATCTACTGCCAAGTCCGGAAAAAAAAAAGAAAGCTAGAGCTCAACAATGACGTCATCGTGAGGGCGACGGGGGGTCTGGTGCGTGTCAGCAGACGCGTGGTCGGAAATTGATACGGGGTCGAATGTTTATCGCGAGACGAGTGCAGGGATGCGTAAGTGTATCGTTGGCACTTGGGAACACGCAATAAGCCAGATCGAGTCGGTTTTCGGGTCTTTATGGGGTTTTTCTCGGCGCGCGAACAGAAGAATCGATCCCTCCGAGGTATTTTTAAGGTGGGACTGAATTTTACCGGCTCAGTCAGTGTAAGCGGCTTTGCCGGTTCGTCGGTGAGGAATCTTCACGTTTTTTCGGGAAAAACTTTTTTTTTCTTTTTTTTTTACTGAGTCCTCTCTGTCTACTGAGACAGATCGAGACGGGGAAAAATGTCTCATCTCGCCAGGTGGATGAGCCATTTCGCGGAAGCCTCGTGCGAAATTACTGAGCAATTTTTCCAGTCCCTTTCGTCTCGACACCGTCACAGGGAGCAGCGAATAATCCGATCAAGCAGACGATGGCCAGGGTGCAGGTGCAGGTGCAGGTGCAAGTGCAAGTGCAAGTCAGGATAGCATCCCTTCCCGGACCTTATTGCAAGGACACTCACCCCAAAATAAATCCAATCGGATGAGCACAGGAACCGAAAGTGAGCAAAATAGTTCTAAATCCAGCTTTTTTCCGTTCCCTTATTTTTAACGAGATCGGCAGGACGAGGAGAAAAATTGGCCTCATGGAGATGAGCATCTTCAACAGTGCAACGGCGATCCGGTGCAAATGAAAGAGAAAATTCATTAAGCCGAGTGGAAGTCGCCGTGCTTCATCGGGGATGGGGAGTCTGTCCCAGAGGCCGTTAGCTGGATGCCCCACATTACGCGATCGTATTCGAGCGAATGCTCGGTGCCAGAAGATTCGGAACACTTCAGGGTACATGGCAACTGCCAAGCAGAGCTAAACTGCTTTACAGGAACATCAAGCAAGATATTTAAGATATGTTTAATATTTCGATTCACAATTTTTTTTTTACTTTTCATTTTTCAGAAAAAGTACAGGGTATTACTTTTTTTTATGCAGTTGAGAATTTTTTACTTGTTGAAATTTGTCTTCAACAATGTCACCTTTTTATGAATTTAAAACATTTTTCAATAACGTATTTGTTTTAAAATAAAACCAAAATGCATATATCCTAAGACAAACGGCGCTTCGTGGAAAAAAAACACGAGTGCAGAAGAGCTTCGTGTGCTTTCAGTTCGTTTTCTTTTCTTTGAAGGGGGGAGGGGTCGTGTCGTTCTATTGGGGTCGGTCGTTGAACTCGGAACATGAGAATGAATGCAAGCGTCGTTAAAGATATTCCAAGAAATTCGAGATTTATGGCTTGGTGGAAGCTGCAACCGTCGGTGCTTTCGGTGACAGTTGGTGCCTTTGGCAACCGTCGGTACTTTTCGGAACCGCTGGTACTGCATTTTGGGGCCACCCCGATGTCACGCGTGTTTAAATCAGCCTGAAATTCGACCAAAATAAAAAAAAGACGAAAACTTCGGGCAATGACGTCGCTTCCACACAATCATATTTAAATGAGAGAAAAGCCAAGCGACGCGCCGCATATCGCTGATCAAGCGTGGCCTTGGGTCTCTTGCCAAAGCAGATCGATACGGGTCGAGAGCCTCCACTTTCGGCACCGAATATGCGGAATATCGTGGGGATGTGTGCTAAATAATGAAAGCCAGGACCTCTCGGCCCCGATAAAAGAATCTCATCTTTCCGGCACTCAACTTGTTAATAATGGTAATAATAATAACTAAATAAATGAATAAATGATTTAATAATACAATGTCAGACCCACATGCTGTGGACAGAAAATGGGAGAATTTAAGGACAAATCGAAGTTTTCATAATCACGTTCAGTTTTGGCAGGTCCATATCTGTCTGGAAAGACTCTTTCAAGCTTCTCGTGAATAATCCGGAACGATCTTACAATCCGAAGGAACGATATCTTGAATCCCAAGAGAACAAAAAAAAAAGGGAGAGCGTCCCACCCGCGACGCCTCGAAATGGGATGAAAAACTTGGTAGATGGAACGGGAGAAAACGGCTCCTTGTGACACCCCAGGATGCACGCTTGTAACGAATGAGCCGCCTTCCGCCGGCTAATGGCCTTCCGCCTCTTCTCCCGGGCCGACGCTTTAACCGCGCCTTTAACCGCGTCTTTAACCGTGGGCCTCTCGGTCTCGCTCCGTTGGCAGACGTCTCGGGTTCGCGCCGTTTTCCGCACCTGTTTTCGATCAGGGCGTGGCTCGTGGGGAAGCTGCCGTACTTCTTCGTGGCAGTCATAAGTCCAACTTTTGTGCAAAAACGAGCTGAAAGATGAGCGAGAACGTACGAATAAGTACAAAAAAGAGAGCCACAATTTTTTTTCCCCGTGTGCCTGTGCCCTTTCTGATGGCACAAAACGAAAAGGACCGGTTGCCTTTAAACGCCCCCGGTCACACGAAACCGAGGACACAGGCTCAGACCCAGGTGCCTGTGATTGCAGACCGAAGTGCCTGTGACCACAGGCAGCAACCTGACTATCCCTGGCGCAGACGGCGATGGGATCGACCGTCTCAGCCCTGAACTTGATGCATTATTGCCGATGCCTCGCTTAACAGCTGTAATCTAGCCTTGCGTTTTCCTGTATCTTTCTTTTTATTTATCTTGTAATCCATTCAGGAAAAGGGAACGAGAAGCCACCATTACGCATATCGAAGAAAGGAATGAAAGGCTCTCGCGATCTTGAAAATGT